CCCCCCCCCCCACCCTAAAAAAAATTAAAAAAACCCAATGACCCAATAAAAAACAATTTTTTTTTTGTACTTTTTTACCTCAGAGTCAGTAATTTCACGCAATGGCAAGATTTGTAGAATTTCACCAAGGGGAAAGTAGTCTTAAAAATTTAACCTGGGTGTTTTCACCTATAACAATGAAACAACAGGGATATTAATTGTGAAATGGTGATATTTCAGGGTATATGTGCAATTAACCGAAGATTGATTCACTTCTGTTTTTATGAAATATACTCAAAATCATTTATGGATGGGGAGATTCTGCAAATATGGATTATTTAGGGGTAAATATATAAGAAAACTCTTTCTGCTAACATGACTTCAACTACGAATTAATTCTAAAAAAATATGTAGACGAACAAAGTTTTGAAGTTCATTTTGATATGTACCTGCCATGATCAAAGTTGTAATATCATCCAATCCAGACGATCATTTTTCGATATGAAACCTAGTAGTAGGCAATCTTCATTGATTATTCTTTTAAAAACACTGAGAACCTGGACATGTCATAAAACAGATACAAATAAATTTGGACTACTAAAAGAAATAAATTAGAATAACAAATTTGTAAAATTAGCAACCTTTTCTATAGAAAGCTATTGTTTCCTCTCAACAGGTTCAGCAAGCTGTGCTTGGTCATCATTTTTCTTGCGAACGACTTATCGACAATATTTTTTGTGCAGTATAGATAAGTAAAAAATACTTGACATGCAAATTTAAATTAATAAAGTGAACTATTCTATGAATATGTATTTAGATTCACATAATTGAATGTTAAATTAAAGTAAATAACTGCAATAACAATCAAAGCATGCAATAGTTATCAAACAACTATATGAGCATATGCGTATAAATCATAAATTGGCCTAACAAATTAATTTCATCAATTAATAAACTTAAAAGCTTATGAAAAGCACATTTAAAATCCTTTAACCAATTTGTAAATGTAATTAAAATTAAAAATCATTCATGTTTAATTTTTGTGGGCCCTTGATCAATCCTTCTCCACCTTTATCTTCTTTTTTGGTAAATCGAGAAATGTATCATCATCATCAATGTTGATTGTGATGTCTTCTTGGATTTGGATTTCTTGTGCTATTATCTTTCCTTGTGCACGTTCATCCTTTGACTTCTCATCCAACTTTACAAGGAACTTGTATGTCTTTCCGATGTTGAGAACAAACTTTTGAAAGAATGAACTCTGATTTTTTTCTGTTTTAATGAGAAAAAAATTAAGATCTTATACATGAAATATATTGTTTTATATGTATAAAATATAATAAAGTAAGAAGTTACCTCTTTTATATCATCCATAAATTTTTGAGCATCGCATCCTATCAATGTTTCTGCTGCGTCAAAAAGTGTGACTCTTGCATTGTCTGTTTCGTCTTCCATAATGATTTTAACAACATATCTACATTTTGTATTATTATTGTGCATCAGATGATATTTATATATTTAATCTTTATATTTTTCTTTCATGAGTAATTGATAGTACTTTACCTCGGTATACTGTCTTCATTATTTTTTTGACAATTTTGACATTTGTCATAAATAGTTTTGTCTACTTTTTTATTGCAGCCTGTGCATGAGTAGTACCAAGCCTCATGTCTATTTAAGATATTACTTATTTTTCCAATAAAGCTGTCATATTGTGCCTGTAGATTTGTAAAAATTTAGTTAGTTATAATCGTAGTTTACATATATTTAGTAAATAAAATTAGAAATTATAAATTATAAAATAATTGAAAAAATATAGTCAAAAATGAATTTTTTAAAAATTAATGTAAAAGTAATAATTGTAAATGTATTTGAAACATCAATGAAACAATATCTATTTATATATATATATTTTAACTAAAGCTCTTGATTCATTAATATTTTATAGTAGGATTTTTAATATCATACCTTTGATGATTCTTGTGAAGCTTGCATAATATCAACAATATTCATTTTCGTTGCATTTTTAAATAGCCTTGACGGAGCACCGTTAGTCTTGATCTTGTCTTTTGAAAGAGCCCTGCATATAATTTTAAAAATATTTAAATTTAAATTTATTAAGTTACCTTTTTTATTTGAATTACCATTCTCGCATGTCCTTAGCAAGTTGTATTTCAGGGTTGATACATATTGTTGATGCAATTTGCGAAGTCAAGCACATCTCCCCTGCATATATAATAGTTATAATTAGAATTTGATATTTATTGATAATTAATTTACAATTCAATTTAAAAAATGTTACCTTTGTACAATGATATTTTAAAATCTGATAGCGCTATTATAGTTGTCTCATGCATATTTCCTTCAATCATTGAACCTTCATTACCAGCTAAATCTCCGAATAAAGTTACAGACAATGTTATCTCACTGTGTAAGAAAAGTTAGACAATTTTAGGTTAATATATTATATTTTGAATAAATAATTTATTGTGAAATAAAAGCATGCATGTATACTCTTTGTCAACTATAATGATGTCCCGCCTTGTGTCCGCCTTATTATATCTTGTAACGTACTTGATCATAGGCTTGACATTTGCTATCATTGCAAGAACATCTGCACATAAATTTATAATAAGTTGAAAATTCATTTATAAATTTTTAAACTAAAAATAAAAGGTGTTTAGAAATACTTACTTATATTCCTTGTATTCTCGTTGGAAATTGCCTCTTTGATTGAGATAAAGTTGTTCAATATCTTATCAAATTGAAACTTTGCATTTGATTCTTTGATAGAAATGTTTTTAGTCAATGTCAACTCAATTGACTCATGTACATTTCCATAAAGCGGGTTTATTAGTTTGACTTCTCCATTTGAGATGTAAAGAACATGATTCTTCTGAAGCATGTGCTTATACATTTCAATAGTTTCTCCAAACATAATACCTTGTATTTTTTTCCCCTGCAAATATTACTAATATTATCTCACAAATAACTAATACATTAACATTCATTTAAGCCTAAGATAAATAAGATAAGTAATAGATGACGTAAGTTATGTATAAATGTAGTTTTATGTGGTAAACTTTAAAATAACCATTCTCTAGATTTTATTGAAAGGTATCCATAATCTTCGGGTCTAAAAAAATTACCTTTTAACTCATCAACAAAACTAACCTTATTTATATAAAGTTACATGTTATTGAAGGTAACCTTATTTTTTTTATATGATCATATACATAGTAAGGTGAAAATAATTAATATAAGAATAAGCATCAACAATTATAATTTAATTTATATTTATAATTTATAAATTTTTAAAAAATTGAGAAGGCTCTGCATAGATTTAAAATAACGATTGCTATGGCATGATAAAAAATGATGCATATTGTACTTAAACATTGTATGTATTACTTTATTTAAGAATAAGTATCAACAAATATCAACAGAATTATAGCATGTAGAATTTTGCTACATTACCTCTGAGTCGGCAAAAATTATTTTTAGTAGTTTTCCTGATCCTTTGTTGTTCTCATAAGATGACTCAATAGTTCTTAGGATAACAACATGAATGGTCCACTCTCTTTGGAAATTTTTTTAGTTGGCGTATTTGGATGTGTGGAATTGGTGCTTCGTTGGTGGATGTCATTGTTCCTGCAAGATTTTGAATAGTTTGTTATATATAAATAACAACACATCTGAAGTACTAAATAAACTCAAAAGAAAATTAAATGAGACTATTTCTATATCAAAGATGTGACACTAATTATAGTAATTTGAATTTATTAATTAATAATATTATTTACAATGTTTAGAGTTATTTTAATTTTGAGTAGTACATGATTTTGAACGAACAGATTGAATGATGAAATAATGAATTGTAATTTTTTTTATTTTTAAGAAAAAAACTTTAATAAAAATTGTATCTACTTATTATATAATAAATTCCTAACCTTCAAAAATGTTATTGGTCATTTGAATTATTCCTCGTGGTCCTTTGGCTAAAAATGTTATTGGTCATTTGAATTATTCCTCGTGGTCCTTTGGCTGGAGAACTTCCTTGTATACAACATTTTTTGTGTATTGTTCCTCTTCTGCAAATTTTCCATCTGATGTTATTAAGACCTTGGTTGTCATCATAGAAGTACCACGTGATAAAGCAACATATAATTGCCCATGAGAGAACACTGGTTCATGTAGATAAATACATACGTTAGGTATTGTTTGCCCTTGGGATTTATTAATTGTCATTGCAAAACATAATCTTATGGGAAATTGTTTGCGTTTGAGCTTGAATGGTAATCCTTCATCTTCTGCTGGTGACAATGGTATTCTTGGCAAGAAAACTTCTTTCCCAGCATGTTGGCCCATTGTGATTTTAGCTTGAATTACATTGTAGTTAAAATCTTGACATATCATTCGTGTACCGTTGCACAGTCCATTAGTTGGATCCAAGTTCCTTAGTAAAATAATTGGACAATATTTTTTGAACATTAGCTTGTGTGGCGGTAGTCCATTAGGGAGCAGAGTGTTCAAAAATTCTTCTTGGTAATGATGATTAGTGTCATCAACTGCTTCATCAAAGCTATAGAATTCTTTTCCTTCTCCTGGAAACCTTTTTATTAGTCTATCATTTAACATGTCAACATATTCATTTTTTGTTGCAAGGATAGCTCTATCTTTCATATAGTCAATAGACTTGAAATTTTCGTCTAAAGATGGAAAAATTGAATTTATGAGAGAATCTTCCGGTAGCTCATCACCTTGATTCTGGATCAACATTGCATTAGGTAGTTTTATGAGATCCTGTGTCACTGTTGGTTCATCTCCATTCCCAATCCTAAGAAGAAATTCACTGAATGCTGTGTCTGATTTTGCTCTCATATTTTTTGAAAGTTGTAGTTTGATCATTTTTCTCCATAAATGTGAGCTCACTAAACTTGATTTTGCTCTCATATTTTTTGAAAGTTGTAGTTTGATCATTTTTCTCCATAAATGTGAGCTTACTAAACTTTCTTTGATAGTTTGTGATCTTGTTGAGCGAGGCACCACTGGTAAAACTTGTCTGAAATCACCACCAAATACAATTACTTTTCCGCCAAATGGTTCATCTTGATCCATTAAATCTCTTAGTGTTCTATCCAACGTTTCAATTGCAACGCGTTTAGCCATAGCAGCCTCGTCCCAAATTATTAGACGTGCTATTCTAAGGAGTTTTGATGTCCCATCTTGCTTTGATATACCACACATAGATGAATCTGTTGTTGGGATTTTGATTTTAAATCTGGAGTGTGCTGTTCTTCCACCAGGCATTATTACAGCTATGACACCTGATGTCGCTGTAGCAAGAGCTATCATACCTTGCGATCTTACTGTGGCAAGTAGAGCACGATATAAATAAGTCTTCCCAGTTCCTCCTGGACCGTCAATAAAGAAAACTCCACTTTTATTTGCTTCAACTCGTGTTAATATTGTAGTGTATGCAGTATGTTGTTCATAGTTGAGTTTTGTTGCAGCATTTAGATCATCAGTTGAGATTTGTACATCTAGCTCTTCTTTAATTTCTCTTGGGTATGAACCTTCCTCTGTAATGTTTTTTGCTTGTAAAGGTGGCAAATCAAATTTTTTAATATCCTTTCCCATACTCTCTAAATAGAAGTTAATATTGAGAAGAGTATCATTTATCACCGAAGCTCTAGTAGCATTTGGTTTCCTTGAGAAGTCTTCAGATAATGATTCAAGATATTGATTCCATAATTTTTTAGCATCTGTGGGCTCACAATGAACCAATTTAGTTGCAAACAAACGTCGAAGTGTTGTTGGCATTTGGAAGACGATGGCTTCATCTAAGCACTCTCTTATGCTATCATCAGATTCCAAAAGACCTAATTTCTGGGCTGATTGCTTGAAAGATTTGCAATGAATACCATTGACCGTCAGTAGATCCTCAAATTATGTCGGACACCTAACGTGAGTAAGCAATAGTCGCAGGTAATATCTCTCTCCTTCAATTGGATTAGCCCCATTTATTCGACCTATCACTTGTCTCTGTTTTCTTGGACTTCAAGATTTTGATGTTGAATCCCAAACATAATATTCAGGAAATTCCACATATAATAACTCCTTTTCATGGTCCTTTTCATGTTTCTTCTTGTTACCTTCTTTAATTTTTTTACACATAGTAAAAAATTCTGTAAGCATCGTCTTGGAGACATGTTCCAAGTGAATCAATTTCGATAGGTCTTGATGTTTCCAATAAGAAACATATTGATGATTTGGCATGTGAAGTTGTAAGTTAATGACAGCCGGGAATATCTCATTAAGATGAAATTCATATATTCTCCAGAAAGCTTCCTGAGCTGATACCCATCTTGCATCTTGGAAATTTTTGATTTCATTCACAACTTTTTCACCTTCATTATACTCAATGTCTACTGCCACTCTATCATGGCCTTTATATATGTACTTATAAAGGTATTTAACTGCTTTTATGCCTGAGCATATTTCAACATTGATGTGACAGTTATAACGTGTCAGCAAATAGGGATTATAAGGTACCACCCATTGATTATTAAGGATTTTGTTTCGAACCAACATTGTTCTGTTATTTTTGCTCCTTTTATAAACTGGGTAAGCATCTTTCGCTTGTAGTGATCTCGGAGAAAACTCTCTAGGGTAGTGATATTTACACTCGCCATTTTGCATGCAAACATTCTTCGTATTTAACTCTCCACAAGGGCCATGCATCATATGTTTTTTTACCAGTTCATATAGGATTGGATTTTCATACTGGTTTGGAATTTCTGCTGATACGTACTTATCATAATGATCTGATGAGACGATTTTGTGTTTTCCCATTAGAATAATCAACATGTGTGCATGAGGCAACCCTCTTTTTTGAAACTCGATGACATGAACATGGGCAGCAACTTTTCCAAAGATTTCCTTTTTAAATAGCTGATCTTTCAGGTCTTGCAATTTTCCTCTAAATATCCTTGAGGTTAGATCCGGTCTATCATTATGTGTCTGTCCTGGATGTAGCTCCTCCGTGATTTCTTCCCATTCAGGATTGCATGTCATTGTGATGAAAATATCTGGTTTGCCAAATTGTTGTACTAATGACATTGCATCAAGATATCTACGACGCATATCTCTAGGACCACTAATAAATAATGATGGCAGCACTATTCTTTTTCCGACTTGACATGCTTTTGCTTCTCCAGCAGCTACACTATCGACTATGCCTTGGAATAACTCTGCTCTGATTTCTGATTGTTTCTTTCTAAAATAATTAAGTCTTGTTGTTTCAAGCTTTATGTACATATCAACAGCATATTGATGGAACAACCGGCCTGCCGATGTTAATACAGTAGATTGTCGAGTGTCTCTTATCTGGAACTTGTAACAATAATATTCTCGACATGAGACGCTTCCCGCCTTTGGTGCTTTAACACCTAAAAGTTTGCAGGTTAAGTTAATTTTTAATGTTTTAATATTATTAAACAATTTTAATTATGAGTTACCTTCTCTTTCTCGTTTAAATATGTCTTCTGCAGATGTAAAAGTTTGCTGAGTTACTTGAGATATTGTATTTACTTGTTTTGACCGGTGAATATCATTTTTATCCCTTCTTTTAATATTTTGGTGCCATCCAACATCTCCGCCTGGAAAGAGTAAAGGATAATGTAAAGGACCATAACAACCAAAATAGTGCTTAACTTGATGATTCTTGCTGGAGTGTGAATGGATAACTATTTCTCTCTCATACGGAACATTATCATTATTTCCCTCTACCCAGACAGCTGCAACCTGATCCACTGTTGGCGAGTTGTAAACACGTTGATCTACTGCAGCATCTCTATTTATAATGATCTTGAAGTCTTCAAGAGATGGAAAATCATTTAGTTTCCGCAGAAATTTTGCATATGGGTTTCCTTCTAATATATCCATCAATCTTTTAGTTGTAGTCGTACTCATGTTTGCATTATCTAATATTCCCATTCGATTTTGCAACTCATTCTCCGTATCGTAAAAGTAAAGTTGAAAGTAGGAAGGCTTATTTTCTTCTGGAATAAGAGAGGGGAGATTATGATATATTTGTCCTTGTGCTCTAAATGTGAAAATACCCTTTCTGTTTGATGCAAGTTCTCTATCAAACCTTGCCCCAAATGATGTGAATGAGAAAATGCTATTATACTTTCTGGTTTGTCTTCGAAACTCAATTGCCTCTTGGGTTTGTACTGTATAAAGGGCATATAACTCATCATTAACATTCACATCTGCTAGGTGGATTTCACCATTGTGACAACAGGATGTTGGTGGCTCATGTTCAAACTTTTTGGCTCTACAAAATGAACAAGACTTTGGAGTCCGTAGTTTATGTAATAAAGAACATACTGGTTCATGTGTAATTTGACCTAGAAAAAAAATAATAGTTTTTAGTGTTAAATAAATTTAGATATATAAAATCATGTAATTATTTTAATAAATTATAAAATTAATCTATGCAAACCTCCATGCTCATATTCTCGCTGTTGCGCTCCACAAAACAAATCAATCTTACGTTTTCCCTTGCTATTGGTACTACTGTCAGCAATATCATTCCTTTTCCTCTTTTTACTATTATCAATGACCTTCTGAATGTAAGTTGTCTTCTGATCAACATTCAACTGATTATATTTGGTGTTTCTACTCTCATGTATTAGAATGTGTTAAATATACTATTAATAAACACAAATACACATAAAGCAATAATAATATATATTTATGTTGAATTCAAACCTTGGTTTGAAGTCATTTGGAAGAAGGTACTCTTATGCAAATGTATAGTGATTATGCAATCCAAGAAGTAGAATGTAAATTTCTACAAGGGAAAAAAAATTAATGTGTTAAATTATTGATTTATTAAATTAAACATAAGTATAGCAGTGAATATAATTTGAGATAATAAGTATATTTTATTTGTTGTTCAATAGTACTTAAGGCTTTTTTTTAGAAATTTGGTAAACTATACATGCATCAGTAATCACAAATATATCATATGCTAAGGTTAATTCTTTTTTTGAAGTCATATAATAATAATAATAATAAATATTTAAGTGTAGAAGAAGATAAATACAAGGAAATAGAGTTATAATATTTAAGTGTAGAAGAAGATAAATACAAGGAAATAGAGTTATCATCACTATGAACAAAATAAAGAGAAAAGAGAAGAAAGTTGCTTAACTAACCTGAATCACCGACAACTTTAGAAATGTTTTAAAAAAAACAAGGCAAATCCAACCAAGTAGGATATCTGCATTAATATGAAAAAATGTTAAATAATAAAAACAAGGCAAATCCAACCAAGTAGGATATCTGCATTAATATGAAAAAATGTTAAATAATTTAATCTAGACGTAATAGTGTATTACAAAACATATATAATTACTCAGAGACAAAACATACATAATTATTCAGAGACAACGTACATAATTAAAAAAATGTTAAATTATTTACGTGAGAATTGCACAACAGGTTTTCACAACATACATAATTACTCAAGGAACAGGTTTTCTCAAGTAATGGTTACAAAACATATTCATATCTTTAATCTATTGGTTATGCAATTGATATTAGATTGATCAAAGTAGAATTGATATACCTAATACCTAATTTAGGAAAAAAATCACAACCGAAATCACAACCTAAAAAAAACTAAACTCTATCATTTGTGATTCTCCGATTCCAGAACCAAATCAAAGACAACCCAAATCTTTCTCCTATCCGATTCCAAACCAAATCAGAGAAACGGCGATGTAATTAATTCATAGTTTCCAATCATCCAAGGGAACTACTATGCACAGATCAACTTAAAAAAGAGAAACTATGGTTGCATAATTTCCAATCATCCAAGGGTTTGTTCTCCTCTCTAATTCTGAACCAAATCAGAATCAGATAAAAATAAATTATTAAATGCAATCTCTCTTTGCTTTGCATGGGCAATCTTTGATATTAGATTGATGAAATCAGAATTGATATACCTAATTAGAAAATAAATCAAAACTGAAATCACAAACTAAAAATCAGCATCACAGATGAGGGAAATAACATTACAAGCCTCAATATCACATACTATTCTTGAAGTCATTATCTCCATCCAGCAATTGGGCTATGTGAATGATGATGACAGAGCACTTCTACAGGTCTCTCTCGTAAAGATATGGAAAATTCTTGCCATTTCGTTAAATAGTCATCATTTTATTTGATTTAGCCATTTACTTGATAATACGCACTTGGAAAACAGGAAGAACACAAGTAGTTTATATTGTTAGACCCTAGAGGGGGGTGATTAGGGTCTTATGCTAATCTAATCCCAATTAAAATCCTAATTAAAATTATATAGATCAATATATTCTTGCAAGAGATAGATATGAACAATAAGAGCAATAAGAATATGCACAAATAAAATATGAGACAAGCAAAACACAAACACACGATATGTTCACGAGGTTCAGTCCCCACGACCTACGTCCCCGCTCCTCACCTCGAGGATATATCCACTATCACAATCCGGTTTGGAAGCCGGAACTTCTACACACTCGGTTTACAAGTTCACCGAAAACTCACACACTACACAATCACTCAACAATTACACTTTACACACTAAGTGTAGGAACCTAGCCTGTGTCCTCCTCCTCAAGTGCTCGATTACAACCTCTCCCTAGGTTCGTCAATCGACGCCACTCCTATTGGATTTGACCCCGTCTCTCTCTCCTCACACTTCTCTCGGTGTACAAGTGTATTACAAGTGATTCTCACAAATAAAAGTTAAATACAATGATTTGTTCTCAAATAACAAGTGAGAACTCAAGGAAGCTCACACTCACTAAATCACACCCCACAACCCACAATATATAATATGAGAATATTAAGCTCAATAAGTGTGTGTGACAATAGTGAATGAAACTCAATAACTATAACTCAATAAATATAGCTAATCAAATGAAAGTGAAATAATAAGCTATATAGGAAAGAGTTTAGAAAACTTCTCAATGAATAAGAAGAGCTGAAGAAATGACGATCTCAATAGAATTTGAAGGCCTCTTCTTGTTGTAGAAAAACTTCTCTTGAAAACTGATTAATGAAATCAACCTTAAACAGGTCTTAAACACACTTAGGAATTTTGTTAAACACAAACTTGGATTTCTTAGTTCTATAGAAGAAGAGCAGCAATGTGGTATATATATAGGCATCCCAATAAAATAGCTATAAAGTAGGCAAAAGACCAATAAAAAACCGTTTGCAAACTAGCTGTTGTACATGTCTGACCGTTCGGGCGGTCGACCGCGTCCGGTCCGATCCGCCGAAGCACAAAAGACTCAAAGAAAAAGGTTTAGAGTTGGGCGTCGACGACCAGAATTTTTGGTCGACCGGAAATTTCTCGTCGAGTCGACCGTGCGGTCGACCGCGAAGACAATCGAGCTTCAAAAAGCCATGTCGGATCGACGCCGGGCCGGTCGACGACAAACCTGATATAGGCCAATACCTGAGCCGTTGTGGCAGTCTTGAAAATTCGTTAAAACTGAGCCGGTGCCCGACACGATCACATCCAAGGAATGAATAACAACTGTTGGGAAAGCTTTCTACGAGATGATGAAGTAAACACACCATGTCTTCGCGCAAAGGACACTTGCTCTTGGAAAAACAATTATTTCGTTTTGCTGAAAACTACTTTTTTTGAAAACATGCCTTAGAAACTTATATTTTTATGAAAGTGAAAGTTGACTACTAGGATTGTCAAACCTACTGTCATATATACCCTGACTTGTTCATGTACTCGCTCATACCTGTATACTACGATAGAATACACGACAAGACGCCTGTAAACATGGATACGAAGCATACTCTTAACACGTTTAACGTGCAGAATCATCCTATATGATAGAAAACGTCAAAAATCGTGTTAAGTGTATATATATTGAGCTTAGATATAATCATACAATATATGTAAGTAAACCAAACATATACCTAGGTAAATCCACGTAAATGAACTTGAATCTTTAACACTGATTGACGTGTGTTGAAATACCTGAAAAGAGAGCATAAACACAAAATACTAGAAAACTTATTAGTAATAAATTGTTTGCTAAATCATCATCAAAACTATAGGGTCAACAATCTCCCTCTTTTTGATGATGGCAAACAATTTTATATGAAACATAAATTGATAACCCACATATAAGCCAAACATAGATAAACCATTCATGAATGATTCCATAAACCATATATGGAATAAGTATGTGAGCTATGTGTGGATTTTTCTCCCCCTTTGACAACATCAAAAAGGGAAAAATGAAAAATAGGAGCAATGCTCCCCCTGCTTATGAGCACAGAGATATAAAAATAAAGTAATATATGCCAAAAGCTCCCCCTGTCAAATAGAATAAATGACACTAAAGAGTATGTAAAGGAGCTAAGCAAACAAAACAATCATAAACAGTACAAAGAACTCATGATAAGCAACTTATTTTCCACACACCAAGACATGAATGTTGTTTCAACCATGCATTGATTCATAGAAGAAATAAACTAAACACAATAAGTCACAAAACATCACATAAGCATTAGAAACAACATAGTTTTGCATAAACATAGATTCGTCCACAAGATAGCAAATCATACATGAAAAGTCACATAAAAACCATACTGATATAGAGTTATTACACTCAAACTAAAAACATAAATGTCAAGTTTTCTAACTCAAAATGAAACAGCACCATCAACATAGAGATCACAAAAACAAACTCCAATAAACAGCAAGATCACTCATCATCATCACCATCATCATCACCACCATCACCATCGTCATCAGAAGATCCTGATCCTTCAGCATGAGCCTCCTTAGAATCAGACTCAGAGGTAGAAGAGGGATCCGGAATCCCGAGAGACTGACGCTGAAAGGAAAGAAT